CCAAAGGAACCGACGTACTTGTCGTTCTCCATTCCCGAGGGCAAAATAGGTCATTGTACTCGGGACCGACACCCCTCTCCCAACATCCCTTGAAGATCAAGATGTCGTCCTTGTACCCCTTGTCCGAGTCAGGAAGATGGGTTACAAGGTACATAGAGGGGTCCCTGGCTTTGAGGTAGAAATGTTGGTGGGGCATGACTCTTAGGAGGGAGTAACAGAAAAGAAGATCATTGAGCCCAATATTCACCCCGAGGCGCCTATTGAGCTCTAGGACCCCCATAACTATCCGAAAGACGTTGAGGCAGCATTGCCCGGGGAAGAGACGGAAGCGAGACAGGAACTGAAGAAGCAGGGGGGGTAAGGGAAACCTAATGCCACCCTCTATGATGGCCTTGGTATAAAAAGGCATGGCATCCGCGGCCCCGAAGGTATGAGAGTTCAACAAGGGGTTAAAGCCCACTACGTCCACGCTCGGGGGGATGCCATACTTCGTCCTGAACCTATCGATCTGCGCCTCGCCTGTCACCTTGTATTTCCCTGACCCCGAGGTACCAGCCGATGGATTCTCGGGAATAGGGCGACGACGAGGCATCTCTAAAAGAAAGGGAAGGAGAAGGTGTTCTCTCTTGAAAACCTGAGGAAATTCCCCGAGGGTTTAAATCAAGACGTACCGACCGGATGACACCACCGTTCAAATCGGAAAACAAGAAGGCTAGGAGGACGATAAAGAAGAAGGTTGTGAAACTCACCAGAAGACGTCGGAAACGGAGTTTTTCAGGAAAAACTTTGAAAACGACTCGCACCGGAAGGACCAGGAGTCAACAATGGGTTTACTGACTGTGATTTTAAGAGAAGATGCTGTCGAAGATGGCTGAGGAAACAGAAACTCCGGCGAAGCAGATCAGAAAAGGCGTATTCTGGGTCAGAGATCGGAATGGCAAAACAATGGAAACCGGAGAAGAACCCCCTTTATATAGGGGGGAAACTGTCATCATTGGGCGGGAGAACCAAAACGGCGCATTTAATGCGCACGACATCCCAAGACGGGGAAAGCTGCTCGAGGCCATAATGAAGGACGGATGGCAGTTGGAAAACCCTTCGTCTCCTGACAACGCGTGTCCTCGGCGTCAGAAGATCGAAGGCTGGGGGGCAGTTGATGGGACTCTTCTGAAAAAGCCTATGATGAAGACACGTGTCCTCGGGGGTTTCTAGAACAATGTTGCTCGGGTTCAAGCACCATCGGCAAAAGCGTCCTCTCCCCCGAGGTACCTCTCATATAGGATCACATATTCGGTACATTATACAATGACATGTGTCCTCGGTCACCATGTACCTCGGGAACACACCACCCCTTGGTCCCCCGAGGTGAGCCTTTCCTCGGCGCCGAGGGTCACTCCATCCTGGACGCTTCCTCTACTCCCGGATAAAGTTACTGACGTACGGGACATCAGCCTATGCCAGTCTAGACTATTCATCATGACCTCGTCTTACACAAGTAATGTCAGAACATGCTGGAGTACAGAAGTCATAGCCAATACGTGACGGACGCGTGGCATATGATATCACATCAAAAACAGGCAAACCGCACGCTATTGCTGACATGCGCTTTGGGAAGCAAACAATTAATTGCACCCTTCTGTTGACGAGACCGCATTCAATGCGGTAAGGTTCGGATATGAAAGGCAATAAATGCTCCTATTACGGAGCATTTATTACATCCTTCCCGAAAGGAGCATATTGTACCGTCGGCGTCCCGACGACTCAACATTGATTGCTCGGGATCCCGAGCAGTCAATTAGAGAAGACATTCCTCGTCAAATCAATACACACGCTGTCAGTGCCTGATGATCACCTACTGACCACACTGACAGCAATCATGAGCTTCTAAGGTATAAATACCCCTCCCAAAAAGGCAAACGGGTATGCAATCACAAACTCTCTACTACAAAATATCCTTCTCAGTGTTTTCTCCTTCCTCTCTCTCATTCAAAGACTGACTAGACCGTCGGAGGGGATACGCCGGAAAACACTCCGGCGCCCTTCTAACTTGTTCTCTTTTGTCCCAGGAAATACCTTTCGCACGTACAGGATCGTTTCTCCTTTCCCAGGATCGTAAGCTGTTTCGAGCAGTGTGTTTGGCCACTCAATCGGCTCACCCAAAGTTCACCGGGGGAGAGATCTGTTCCCAATATTTTATATATCGTGCAGGATCAAGCCCGCATAGCACCTTAGTAGTGAAGCCTTCCATTGTGCACTTATGGATTACACATCCACAGTTCACTCGGGCCCCTAACACCCCTAGATTCAAGAAGGAAGTTTGCACCATAGCAGGTCTTCAATCGTGTTACCAAGCCGACGAGAATGACCACTTACTTCCCCGAAATTGATGTATCAAAAGGTCTTGAGATCTAGAAAAAGTTCTTATATGGCAAAGCACTTCGCATTTAGACACTCGCTCGGCTTGGTCCCTATATTTGTTCAACTCATGGAGCTCTGACATGTCATTGCTATTATTCCGATGGAATTTGGGACGCCTCCTTATTTCAAATCTCTGTGCACTGAACTTGGCGAATCCAAAGATAAGTGCTCTCCGCACTTATTTCGTTTAAGATCAATAATACTTTGTCCATCACCATGTGATGCATATGAGAACCCTCTATTACTTGTCCATAAGGGCATGCCTATATATGTCGTAGTGAGTTCGAGTAATGTGTGCCTTCACATAATTGTTGTAGCTGCCCCTTGATTGAACTCCTAAACACTACCACAAAGCATATGGGCCATCTGCTCCAAGTTTTTTTTTATCATTTTCTTTGACTTTTGAAATGAGCCGAGTGGTGTCTCTCTCCCCCACCGCTACCAGCACGAGTCAAATGTAAACCCACAAAAAAATGATCTTGCTCGGTCCAACTTTAGATGCCGATTCAAGCTCAAGATTCTCTAAGTAAAACTAGATAAGTAAAAAATAAGTCTATGCTCACTTCTCTTTGAGTGAACCACTTCAGTTGGTCAAGTAAAGCTTTACCACTAGCAAAGGCCAGTATGATTGCCACATTTTGCTCCAGTATCACTTGATAGGAGCTACACTTGTTCACCTAACAAACTTGTGCACGCAAGCACGAGCACACATGCTAAAATCATGGCATTTTATCACTAACAAAAAAAAAAAATTAAAGTTTTCCTAGCACAATTGTCTCTACTTTTCTAGTATTGCAAGACAACCTCTTTTGAGTATTGAACTCGGACTGGTCTACGTTTTGCCACTATCAGAATGGTATAAGGGTGGACGACTAACACAATTTACGAGGTGGTGATCTGTCTCACCATCATGTAAAATTCAGGGGCCCCCGGTACTATCAAGGAAGACCGATTGCCCCAAAAAATCGTTTGGAACAGTCTACACGAAAGACCCAGCAACCTTGGTGCGCCTGGCAGTATCAAGGGGCTCCTGACACTTACTAGGACCCAACAAAGGTCTGAATAAAGGCCGATGTCAAAATCTGCATTCAGGATCTCATCAAATTGTCCTGTCATTCGGAGAATGGTCCGTGTATCATCTCGGGGTCAGACTAGCCATCCCACAACGAAATTACACTCGGTCTTTACTTGACCAATGGCAACATAAATTCACTCCAGGATATTACTTATTGTCCATGAAGCAGTAAAAGCTTTCCTTTATTCCCTTGTGGATTGCATATTCTGAGTTCACCTGAAAATCTAAACCAAGTGTGCGTGCAAGATCCTGCACAATATAAAAAACGAGAACAGATCTTTCCTTTGGTGAACTCGAGTGAGCTGGTTGAGTGACCAAACACGCTGTTTGGAACAGCCTGCGAGGTCCGGTGGTAACCTGGAACGGCAATGGGAGATCCTGGGAACGGAAGAACGATTCAGTAAGGCTGAAAGAGGTTCCTGGAACAAAGAAGAACAAGTTAGAAGGGCGCCGGAGTGTTTTCCGGCGTATCCCCTCCGACGATCTAGTCAGTCTTTGAGAGAGATAGAGAAAGGAGAAAACACTGAGTGTGTATTGTAGTAAAGAGTTTTTTGTTGCATACCAGTTTTGCCTTTTGCAAGGAGTATTTATACCTCAAAAGCTCATGATTNGCTGCTTGGAACAGCCTGCGAGGTCCGGTGGTAACCTGGAACGGCAACGGGAGACCCTGGGGGAGCGGAAGAACGATCCAGTAAGGCTGAAAGAGGTTCCTGGAACAAAGAAGAACAAGTTAGAAGGGCGCCGGAGTGTTTTCCGGCGTATCCCCTCCGACGATCTAGTCAGTCTTTGAGAAAGAGAGAGGAAGGAGAAAACACTGAGTGTGTATTGTAGTAAAGAGTTTTTTGTTGCATACCCGTCTTGCCTTTTGCAAGGAGTATTTATACCTCAAAAGCTCATGATTGCTGTCAGTGTAGTCAGTAGGTGATCATTAGGTACAGGCAGTGTGCGCACTGATTCTGATGAGGAATGTCTTCTCTTCTTAACTGCTCGGGGTCCCGAGCAATCAATGCTGGGTCATCGGGATGCCGACGGTACAATGTACTTCTCTCGGGGAGGATGCAATAAATGCTCTGTATTAGGAGCATTTATTGCCTTTCATTTCCGAGCCTTACCGCATTGAATGCGGTCTCATCAAGGGAATGGTGTAATTAATAGTTTGCTTTCCCAAGTCGCGTGTCAGCAACGGCATGCGGTTTCTCTGTCTTCGATGTGATATCATATGCCACACGTCCATCCCTTATTGGCTGTGACCCCTGCATTCCAGTACATTCTGACACTAATTGTGTAAGACGAGTTCATGATGAATAGCCTAGACTAGCATAGGCTAATGACCTGTACGTCAATAGCTCATCCTGGAATAGAGGAAGCGTCTAGGTGACGAGAACAATGGCCTAGTTCCTCAGCGTCAATGTATCAAAAGGTCACGGGGATTGACATATAATTATTATTTTGATATCAATGGAGCTCGGGATATCTCGCTGTTTTATATCTTCATGCACAAATACAGAACCAGCCCGCAACTGAACTCTTTGATACTGCCATGACATGTGTCAATCGGCATCACAGCCACAAAAAAAGTATATATATACAAACCTTGTGGACTGTCGGTGCACCCCTCCATATATCATTGGAGCTCGGCACTGTCGCTTTGAGTCATAAAGATGCAGACCTACCTCGGCTCACAACAGCCGCGAACAGTCTCTGGGTCACAATAGAGCTCAAAATAAGTAAACTTGGCATCATCGAGGCATCCCGGCCCCAAAAGTCCCCTTATTTTGGCATGGCATCGGGGGACTGCTCACAGTAGGGGGAGTTTGTCCCGAAGCCACGTGTTCTCGGAGCAAGGCCTCAGCCTCAACTATAGTTCTCGGCATTCCCTAAACCTAGAATATTTTGGGTAGACAGCCCGAGTAGAGATCTGCACAACCTTTGGACAAAAGACCTTGCTCGGTCTCCTCTCTTGAATGTCCCTCTGCAACTAGCAACACTCACTCCGATCTTGGGGAAAAATGGAGTTCTTTGGACAATCACAAAGTGGACATAACATATGTACACAAGCGAGTATATTTCTTGAAGCCAAGCATAGGCAAATCCGGCAAATCACAGCACGATTGTCGTGGTCCATGAAATCCCGATCGGAGTCCCNATACCCAGTTCTTTTCTCAAAAGAAAGCCCGAGCAATTGAAAACATTACACCCAAAATTTTAGTTTGCCCAGCACCAGTTTAGCTTCTATTAAAGACCATTTGCTCAGTCCGTTTGTGTTCGCCTCTTTAAGCCCGAACATGCTCTCCACTTGTAACTATAAACTATGGTGTGCTTTAAACAAGCACAAGCAGTTCTCTCAATCAAAGAAGATATTCTACAGCAAGGACTCACACCTTTAGTCTATTATCCAAATGGTGGTTTGGACATGGTATTGTATATTTCTCGGCTGTCCGNCTCGCACCTTCAGTCTATTATCCAAATGGTGGTTTGGACATGGTTTTGTATATTTCTCGGCTGTCCGAAGGTGATTGATATATTCGCAAGAAGGATATCAATCATCAACTAGTGACTTTCGTGGATCCTATATTGCTCTACTTCGGCACTTCAGTGGCTTAAGCGATTGACCTATCAACCATAAGGGAGTTAATCCATCAAAATGACCGGCCTATCAGCCACAAGTGACAGTGGTCGGTCCCATTTCTCGGACAGGCTAGAAACTTCGGCGCACTAACTCTCTGGATTTTCCTTAGTCACAAATGGGTGTCATCTTGAATCCCTCTCGGGGGTTATCAATGCCATGCAAATGCAACTCTTGACACATTGCAACTCAATGACAGGGTTCGGTCTTGAGTTCTTATCAAGGAGCTGGCCGACACAATCATCAACTCGGAGGATAGTCTACACTGGCCCATAAAGTGCTCGGCATCATCAAGAACATCTCGACAGAGCCTCTATTTTTTCATCACATGGGAAGATTGCTCAGAGTGGGGGGCATGTCCCGAAGCCATATGTTCTCGGAACAAGGGCCTCTCGGGTAATCGGCCTCAACTATAGTTCTCGGCATCACCAACCAGACCCATAATATTTTGGTTGCCTAGCCCATCATCATGCGATGCTCGTCACTGCCTCTGGACCAGAGAACTTGCTGGGTCTCCTCTTATGAATATCCCTTCGACTGTCAACATATCCTTGCTAGGACAAATTGAGTTTCTCACTGCCGACTAATTGCTTTCTCGGTTTAGCACTCTTGCCATATGAGCTACACAAATAGTCAAACAATAACCAAAACCAAGTAGCTGGTCGGTTTGTATTCGCTCGAGCTCTCTATTCTTGGAAGTTTTCTGGAATATGGCATCTTCTATGCTGCTCCGAAAGAATAAATGGTGCTCGGGCACTCACTAATGGGCAGCCAAGGAGTTGCTTGCCATGTTCAAGCGAACCTCAAGCTTCCACTTTTGGTCACAATAAAATGGAAACTCACCTAAAGCTCATTCTCGTACACGAGGACATATATTAAGTGGCTTCAAAAAAAAAAAAAAACCCCAAAAGTCCGATCTATCACCCAGACGTTGTTTCAACCAAGAAGATATGCTCACCACCACTTAGAATCAGCTTGACGTCATTGCAATATTGGTCGGCATCATCAAAGGACAACGACTCTTTTCAGATCGATCCATTGTCGTGGCATATTATGCAGCTCGGTCTCTCTCTCTCTACACATGGCGTTCGTGGAGTTTTGCCATTGGAAAGGCAGCCACACTATTGAAATCTCTTGGTCTACCTTAAATTCTGGAGAAATCATGAAATGCGGCAACTGATCGACATTTCTAGAGGGGATTAATGTTCGGTGTCAACGAAAAAGCTAATTGGTGTCAAGCCTCAGTCAAAAAACTTCATTACACCATCTGCAGCTCTATTCTCAGTTCTCTGCTCAGCAATTCTACACAATTGGGTCCTCATAATTACCCAAAGTGCCACGGGTCATCCACAAAGAGGAATTGTCCCTTCAGGCACTTGATCAAACATCATAAGAGCTGCCAAAGCTTCTAAATAACCACCAGCTACGCTGGAGATCTGATTTGGGAACCCAAAGATTATCAACCATCTAGATATCAACGTCAACAAACGAAAGAAGCCCACAACGCCTATGAGACCAAAAATGGTTCGAGATTAGTCCTATTGACGGCAAAATAAAGTCAAGAACATCAAGTGTAATACCTATCTTCAGGCTCGAGGGGTTCTCTAGCTTTCTTTTCGAAAGAAACAAGTGGTTGATAACCCTCGTGTGGACGATTCGTCGCACAGATATGATCGGTCTTGCCTCAGAAACCACTGCACAATGGTCAGTCTGTTCTCAGTCTGCTCTCTCCAAGACCTTGGAAACCACTGCGCAATGGTCAGTCTGTTCTCTGTCTGCTCTCTCCAAGGCTTTAGAAACCACTGCACAATGGTCAGTTTGTTCTCAGCCTACTCTCTCTAAAAAACTATTGGGTCCTTCAATCAAGCACTGGATTCGCATGAAGGGATTCACATCTATCTCCCTCATAGTCTCGGTCAGAGATCAATACATCGTCTCTACTTAGGTTCTACAACAATAGTGTCGGTGTACTACTCGACGTTCACTAGAGTTTTCAGAAAGAAAAAAAAAAGGGGGGGGGGGATTCTCAATGAGGGATTTATTCTTATTGCATCTGTGGCCTTCATAAGGATACCACTTGATCTTGTTTCATCAATGCACGGCAGATTTGTCTTGTGGCGACCAATGTGAGCACTGGGGGGCAGGAACCTCTAAGGCGAGCACAAACACATCTCGAACATTCAAGATAATGACATAAGATATGGTTTTTTTGGTTCAAATGGGATTAAAGTCTGTGTACCCGAGAGACTTGGTGGCCCTGGCATAGACACGGGTAAGCCTTTGCTCGACCAAAGCACCAAAAGTCCTAATGTAGGCATAAAACTTCTTGGGAACAAGTTCGACTTGGACTCAGGAGTACTCCGTGTTGAAGGAGGTGAAATGAGACTTTGGGTGAGATCCTAGACCTAGTGCAATACAGTTACAAGGGAAAGCTTGACCCAACGTCAACATTAATGTCGGGCATGAAGACCCTCTCAAGAAGAGTCTCACTGAAAGGGACTTGAATTGCCTAACTACGGGTTTGATATATTCAAGACTCAACTCGACAAGGTACGTTTGTATTTATTTCAATTAAATGTTATTTGAACATGATAAGAAGGGACAAGACTCAACGCCTAGTTGATCATCGAACTTGAGACCGTCGAGGCCAAGAAACGAATGTTCTGGCCTTCTTTTATGGACATTCTGAAAGAGCCGAGATTATGCGGTCCCTCTTCAGAGGATTGACTATTATTGTCCTCTTTAGGCTCACTCATGCTTGACGTTTGTCGCATCCGATTGTAATAACTCTTCTCAGAGTTTAGAGATTATTGTCTTCTTTTGGTGAGGTTGAGGTCCAGTTATGATTGTCCTGTTTAGGACTCGCTCTCTCCAATTGCTTGTTATGGTTATATTCGGTATTCCATTACTCAACCCCTCAACAAGGCACTTCATTAGTGCTCGGCCTCTTGAGACACGTTTGAGATCTCTATATTCAGTCTCTCTTCTAGCAATTTATGTATTCGGTCCCTCAGGGGCCAGGTTTATTCGGTCCTTCTTCAGGCCTATTGGATTGGCCTTCAGGGACTAAGCTTATGTGGTCTCTGTTCAAACGGATTAGCGACATCTATTATAAGCCCTTTTCGTTGGGTTTATTTGCCTTGGAAGACGCCTCATGATTGTCTCATTCACGGCTCAACTATTATTATCCTTCTCGGGATTCTATTATGAGAGTATTGATCAGGATTTGATTATCTTCATCCTTCGGATTTGGCCTCTTAATAAGGCACTTTGTTATTGCACGGGCTGATGGGTTTCTAATGTGTTCATTGTTATTGCCTGAGCTTAGAACTGTTTATACCGTGGAGACGCCATCTATGGCACCAAGCAGATGCATTGTTCTAACTGTTGAGATATCACTCATTGCTCGTTGAGTATTTGAGCTTCGCGGTTATTGATCTCGGTATTCTATTATAAATGACAAGTGTATTCGGCATGTGCATGTATTAGTCTATGGTATTCGGGCTCCGTGCTCGCTTGACAACATATAGCGGATCTCAGCATATCTTCCTCAAGTTGCACCCTGGCAAAAAAGGGTATGGATATTATCTCCCGAGACGTGAGTATTCAGCATAACTTTCATCTCCTTCTGGGTATCCAAAGGAAATAAAAGCTGGGGGCAATTGATGAAAAATTATTTGTCAGGTGGGTCCACCAACCCCACTCTCAAGGAAGAGGTATAAATGACTTAACAAATATCACAAATGAGACTTACTACAATAAATATATGGCAGGTAATGAGTGTTTTGGCAGGCTAATCCATGCCTATTTTCCTGCATTGACGGCTGCACAGTACATGATGATAAGTGTTTCTAATTTTCTATATATATATGGGTGAAGACCCAAGAAAGAGGGGGTCTCAAGTATGAGCACCTTGGCTTCATACTTCACACACACACCTATATTATTTTTCTTATTTATACACTCGTCTATTCCAGTTATTGATCGCGATACTGACTTAGACATTGGAAGGGCCTCCCTTGGCTCAACGTCGGGGGTCTCTCTAATCTTTTTCTGCCTTGCAGCTCATGGACTGGGTGATATTCGAAGATTAGGGGCTCATCTTCAACTTTTTCAGTAATTGTGCGGATTTTTACCCGNCTCTAACCTTTTTCTGCCTTGCAGCTCATGGACTAGGTGATATTCGAAGATTAGGGGCTCATCTTCAACTTTTTCAATGATTGTGCGGATTTTTACCGGAACAATTCTAATCACAAACTATGTCGTTCTCTCCCAAGATTTTCTCTTCCTATACAATCTCGAGTAATGCTATTAGGACATAATTTATAGATATAATTTGAAGATATAATGAGTTATCACCAATGAAATGATAATAAATTCATTTAATGCTACAATGGGACTTATCATTAAATATATTTCATTATCATTTTATTGGTGACAACTCATTATGTCCTTAAATTATATCCATCAATTATGTCCTAATAGCATTAGTATACAATATCACACATTTATGCTGTCAAGTTATGTTTTTAACTTAATTACTTTTGTCCCTCTATTTTTAATTATGTTATTATTCAATTTTATTAGTAATAACTCAATAACACCAAGGTCGATCCTCAAAAAATTGGTTAAACACGAGAAGGCCAAAAAGAAATAACAATTTATCAAGAGATGAAATTGGGTAACTAGAATAAATTCTAGGGAAATTCTTATATAGGAAATATACTCTCTAGTTTCAGGAACTATTCATATATATTAAATATAATACCAATGCAATTATTTATTGTCTTAGTTGGCTTCCAACGTCAGTGTAATCATCTGCTAAATATAACTTTAAAAACCAAGTTTTTAATGTGCATTCTAAATAATAATTTTTTTTGAATATTATATTTTTTGTTTGATATTTATTATGAATATTTCAAAAAAGTAATATTATGAATATTTCAAAAATGTAATATTATTTTTGTATATAGTTGAAAATTACTAATATTTGTTTAATTGTTTATGTATAAATAGAGTGGGCATAAATACACTTGGGGTGTGTATAAATGGGATGAATTTAATAGTTTGAAATTAGGAAGTTAAATGGGGTGAAGAAGGATAATTAAAGGGTGAGAATAGCATCACCCGATTGACAACACCATCTCCTTTCTTTACTTGGGAAAACACGAACACAGGAAAAAGGTGATATATTGTGTCAAACCTTCTAAATTCCACTGAGATGACTCTTGTACCTGAACTGAAACATCTTTCGCCTACCACTCCCTGTACCAAGTGATTCCCACAACTTGGTCTATAATTACGAAGAAGACATGGTCTGTAATTATGAAAACTTAGCAAATAAATTTTTAAAAATATAATAAATTATTAATATTTTTCAAACCCCAAGATTTCAGAAACCCAAGTTTGTAACACTCTAAACGTATGCAATCAGGTTAAGGATGATTAAGAACTCACCTTTTTCACTACAGTAGCTCGTTGAATCGCAGTGAAGAGATAAGTTTCTAAAATTTCTCAGCCTCAGATCACGTCCCTCTGGTTGAAAATGAAAGGGAGAGAGAGTATTTTAGAGAAACCGCATTTGTGGGCAAACTGGGATAAAAAGGGCCAACGGTGACGAGACCAGGAGACAGACCAGAGAGCTGTGTTGACAGGCTCGAGACAGAAAAAACCGGTGAGAGGAAGAAACACTGATAGAATAATGAGCGGCTGATTTCTTAGGGTTAAAGATTTTGGGTTCTATACCAGATATCTGACCCGTCCGGATTAAGGAGGACCCCCGGTTCACACCGCTTTCATAAAAAAACCCCGGGTCAAACAGGTAACTGACAGGCCTTATGCATAAACAATCCACATATAAACCTGGTCCAGTCCAGGCACAGGTTCACCAGGTTTCAGGGACAAACCGCCAGGCCGGGTTTTCACCTTTATATTTGCTTCAAGTGATTACCTGAATGAAAAGTCAATCAAACACTAATAATAAGATAGAATGCCCATCACTCTGATTTTTCCCATGACTCTGCTTCAAGCTTCTGCCTGTGAACTGTTTTACATTTTCTATCACAGAAACCTAATAGCTCATAGTCTCCCCAAGATCACATCATAATCCTCAAGCCAAAGAAAAGATTAGGAAGAAAGGAAACATTGAACTCGATTTTCTCTGCTCCAAATCATAAAGCATTAGACTATTCTTCAAGTCTATTACCGGCAAAGAACAACTTGGAATTGAAGCAAAATCTAGGTAAAAGAATAAGTTAAATAGAGCATCAAGAAACAATCTACTCGGATGTTTTACCCTCAACTGGTGGTTTTTTGTCTGTCAATGCAGCAGAACTTGCAGACTCTTCTGCTTCAACTAGTTTGCGGAGTCTTTCTTGAAGGGCTCGAACTCTGTCCTCAGTCTTGCGGAGCTTTCTCCATCTGTAGGTTGTCCAGAGGGCAAATCCTCCGTACACAACGATATAGGAACCCCATACATATGGATATGTTTCTGCATTCTGTTTGATTTTTTGATACTGTTCTTCTACCCAGCTAACAGCCAAAGGGCTTGCCGCTAGCTGATCGTCATCTCCTCCTTCCTGAGTTGCCATTCTGTCCTGTGTTGCACCTCTGCCATAAACAGATAAGGATAAATATGCCATACTAAAAAATATAGTGCATTACTGCACAGGGAAAAAAAAAACAGTACTGTTACTAATGTAAGAAATGCAGCATCATTTGATTTCTAGCCACTAATAAGTCTGCTGCCGACAATTACTATACACTTTATGTAGATAAACACAACACGCACACCAGCCAATTTACAGGTTTCAAGCTTTAATTTAACTCCATGACTACCATGCAATCAAATTTTAGTTAGTGAACGTGATTTTTCAAGAACTGACCCATACAAAGGCAGTTTGCATCAGTAGACTAGATGGAATCCACATACATTTGCTGAATTTTAAGCAGTAAAAGAACAAAATAAATAGCAAAGACAACTTATTTGGCTTTCCCTCAGTATTAATCCATAATATGCAGGTCAAAAAAAAGAAACAAAATGGCAATTTGCTCGACTTTACCACACGAACAGCATGGTGCCATTTTTTTGCGCTTTTTGACTAAGCAAGACTCATAAAAAGATTTGCTTTATACATCTATTATATCAAAAAGATCCACAGTCCACGCCAATATTATTTTGTCATCCATGTACGACTTCAATACGACAGTACAACCACCATATTACACACCAGTCCATCAGCAACTATACTTTTGGTATGTTTGGTAGGAGAGATAAAAAAGGATGAGGGATGCATTTGCAATCCTTTGAGGAAGGAAAGATGTTTTTCCTCCTCCTTGTTTGGTAAGAGGTATGAAAAAGTAGAAAAAATAAATTTTTTATTGGTATGAGAAAAATTATAAAAAAAATACAACTTTTAAATTACATGAATACCCTTGTGCTTGTATAAAATATAGAATAAAAATATTTCATGGATCCCACCATTATGTTGGTTTGTGTTGGAAAAAAATGTGGACCCCACCACTTTTATCTTATGCATTCAAAACAACTATCACTTTTAAGGGGTATAATAGTAAATTTAATAAGTGTGATCATTTGCCAGCACTCCTTCCATTTTCCGCCCAAATTTGGGCGGATTACAAATGTTGGGCATGAGGTATAGCTTTTCTATCCTATTTTCCTTTCCTCTCCATTTTCTTTCCCAACCAAACTAAGTAAAGTCTTTCCCCTCCACTTTCCATCCATCCAATATTCCCTCGTACCAAATCGAGGGTTAAGACCAAGGACCTCAGTTACCACATTTCAGTCTTTTTTTCCACAACTAGTCCAGGCATCAATCCAATCAGCTTCACCAGAAGTAGGTTTCCAGATGATCAACCTCAACACCTGCACGTTTTGGACTCCAACACAGGAGGCTAGGTAGCAACCAATGTGTGACCTAAATGAATTTAGCTAGAAGCAAGCGTCACCAAAGACCTTCCTCTAAAGATTTTTGAGTTTTGATGAACAAAACAACCATTCATCCTTTCCTGACATCGCACGGCTCTGATCTAGTTTTGTTGAAAAGAACAGCAACTCAATGGCTTTGCTCCGATAGTCGCAATGCACATTAGATCTAGTTTCCGAAGCGCACCTATTATATATAAAAACTCCTTACTAAGCAAGACAATTTCATCTCCTGACAAATGAGATTGGACTCAAACCAAACAAAAGAATTGCCATGAGCTACCTATGCATGTTGTACCCATGGCATAAGGATATGAATAGAACGACGATGATGGTCCGAGCATTCGAAAATTCCGTCCCTCAGACTATTGGAGTAATTGAACTTGACGTTATCGGGCCATACCAGTTTAAGATCAATTTGAATGTGGTGCATATCGAGGCATCGTTCACTTTCCTATTGGGAATACTTTGGTTCCATGCAGCAAGGCCCTTCCCCATAAAGCCCATCTACGCTACACCAAAGGATAAAGTTTGTTTATCGACGACCAGCTAGTCACTATCTTAGTTGATGAAGAAGTGGGCTCAAGAAAGGTAAAAGTTGTGCAAAATGTAGGGTCGAGACTTCCATTCCTATCGTATTAGTTCGAAACAATCAATTGTACACCCTTGATGCAAGGCCATCAAAAAGATAAAGACGAGCTCACCCGGATGGAAAATGCTAGTGAAGATGAAATTTCACCCCCTATTTGAGTAAGGTTGGGTCTAGGGATTAGCTTACAAGGAAGGCTTATGTCAGTAACTCCGTCAAAGCACGATCCCACTTTACTTAGTAAGGCTTAGGAACGATGCTGGCAAATAATTGTTGAATAGAGTGACAAACCTCAAAGACCAATTTCCTCTACGGAGTGTATACCGTCCGAGTTGCTGCCCGAAGGACCAAACCTGACTACTGAACGAGACAAGCTTGGTATATTGTCTTCCTTTTAGCAACAAACAGTAGTCACATTGCAATTATTCCACCAGTACGGATCATTCTATTCGGATGCAACAGTGTAGTAGAAACTGCAGATCGGTCGGCATGAGATGTCGGTTCTTGATTAACAGTCTTCTTTTTTTCATTATCTTTTTTTTCAAAAAAAAAAACAATTCCTACCATTATAAAAGAGAGAATGAAAGCAATAAGCTTCATCTTCATCTTCTAACTGCCGCATTCCAACAATTTGANTTAAAGATTTTGGGTTCTATACCAGATATCTGACCCGTCCGGATTAAGGAGGACCTCCCGGTTCACACCGCTTTCATAAAAAAACCCTGGGTCAAACGGGTAACTGACAGGCCTTATGCATAAACAATCCACATATAAACCCGGTCCAGTCCAGGCACAGGTTCACCAGGTTTCAGGGACAAACCGCCAGGCCGGGTTTTCACCTTTATATTTGCTTCAAGTGATTACCTGAATGAAAAGTCAATCAAACACTAATAATAAGATAGAATGCCCATCACTCTGATTTTTCCCATGACTCTGCTTCAAGCTTCTGCCTGTGAACTGTTTTACATTTTCTATCACAGAAACCTAATAGCTCATAGTCTCCCCAAGATCACATCATAATCCTCAAGCCAAAGAAAAGATTAGGAAGAAAGGAAACATTGAACTCGATTTTCTCTGCTCCAAATCATAAAGCATTAGACTATTCTTCAAGTCTATTACCGGCAAAGAACAACTTGGAATTGAAGCAAAATCTAGGTAAAAGAATAAGTTAAATAGAGCATCAAGAAACAATCTACTCGGATGTTTTACCCTCAACTGGTGGTTTTTTGTTTGTCAATGCAGCAGAACTTGCAGACTCTTCTGCTTCAACTAGTTTGCGGAGTCTTTCTTGAAGGGCTCGAACTCTGTCCTCAGTCTTGCGGAGCTTTCTCCATCTGTAGGTTGTCCAGAGGGCAAATCCTCCGTACACAACGATATAGGAACCCCATACATATGGATATGTTTCTGCATTCTGTTTGATTTTTTGATACTGTTCTTCTACCCAGCTAACAGCCAAAGGGCTTGCCGCTAGCTGATCGTCATCTCCTCCTTCCTGAGTTGCCATTCTGTCCTGTGTTGCACCTCTGCCATAAACAGATAAGGATAAATATGCCATACTAAAAAATATAGTGCATTACTGCACAGGGAAAAAAAAAACAGTACTGTTACTAATGTAAGAAATGCAGCATCATTTGATTTCTAGCCACTAATAAGTCTGCTGCCGACAATTACTATACACTTTATGTAGATAAACACAACACGCACACCAGCCAATTTACAGGTTTCAAGCTTTAATTTAACTCCATGACTACCATGCAATCAAATTTTAGTTAGTGAACGTGATTTTTCAAGAACTGACCCATACAAAGGCAGTTTGCATCAGTAGACTAGATGGAATCCACATACATTTGCTGAATTTTAAGCAGTAAAAGAACAAAATAAATAGCAAAGACAACTTATTTGGCTTTCCCTCAGTATTAATCCATAATATGCAGGTCAAAAAAAAGAAACAAAATGGCAATTTGCTCGACTTTACCACACGAACAGCATGGTGCCATTTTTTTGCGCTTTTTGACTAAGCAAGACTCATAAAAAGATTTGCTTTATACATCTATTATATCAAAAAGATCCAGTCCACGCCAATATTATTTTGTCATCCATGTACGACTTCAATACGACAGTACAACCACCATATTACACACCAGTCCATCAGCAACTATACTTTTGGTATGTTTGGTAGGAGAGATAAAAAAGGATGAGGGATGCATTTGCAATCCTTTGAGGAAGGAAAGATGTTTTTCCTCCTCCTTGTTTGGTAAGAGGTATGAAAAAGTAGAAAAAATAAATTTTTTATTGGTATGAGAAAAATTATAAAAAAAAATACAACTTTTAAATTACATGAATACCCTTGTGCTTGTATAAAATATAGAATAAAAATATTTCATGGATCCCACCATTATGTTGGTTTGTGTTGGAAAAAAATGTGGACCCCACCACTTTTATTTTATGCATTCAAAACAACTATCACTTTTAAGGGGTATAATAGTAAATTTAATAAGTGTGATCATTTGCCAGCACTTCTCCTTCCATTTTCCGCCCAAATTTGGGCGGATTACAAATGTTGGGCATGAGGTATAGCTTTTCTATCCTATTTTCCTTTCCTCTCCATTTTCTTTCCCAACCAAACTAAGTAAAGTCTTTCCCCTCCACTTTCCATCCATCCAATATTCCCTTGTACCAAATCGAGGGTTAAGACCAAGGACCTCAGTTACCACATTTCAGTCTTTTTTTCCACGACTAGTCCGGGCATCAATCCAATCAGCTTCACCAAAAGTAGGTTTCCAGATGATCAACCTCAACACCTGCACGTTTTGGACTCCAACACAGGAGACTAGGTAGCAACCAATGTGTGACCTAAATGAATTCAGCTAGAAGCAAGCGTCACCAAAGACCTTCCTCTAAAGATTTTTGAGTTTTGATGAACAAAACAACCATTCATCCTTTCCTGACATCGCACGGCTCTGATCTAGTTTTGTTGAAAAGAACAGCAACTCAATGGCTTTGCTCCGATAGTCGCAATGCACATTAGATCTAGTTTCCGAAGCGCACCTATTATATATAAAAACTCCTTACTAAGCAAGACAATTTCATCTCCTGACAAATGAGATTGGACTCAAACCAAACAAAAGAATTGCCATGAGCTACCTATGCATGTTGTACCCATGGCATAAGGATATGAATAGAACGACGATGATGGTCCGAGCATTCGAAAATTCCGTCCCTCAGACTATTGGAATAATTGAACTTGACGTTATCGGGCCATACCAATTTAAGATCAATTTGAATGTGGTGCATATCGAGGCATCGTTCACTTTCCTATTGGGAATACTTTGGTTCCATGCAGCAAGGCCCTTCCCCATAAAGCCCATCTACGCTACACCAAAGGATAAAGTTTGTTTATCGACGACCAGCTAGTCACTATCTTAGTTGATGAAGAAGTGGGCTCAAGAAAGGTAAAAGTTGTGCAAAATGTAGGGTCGAGACTTCCATTCCTATCGTATTACTTCGAAACAATCAATTGTACACCCTTGATGCAAGGCCATCAAAAAGATAAAGACGAGCTCACCCGGATGGAAAATGCTAGTGAAGATGAAATTTCACCCCCTATTTGAGTAAGGTTGGGTCTAGGGATTAGCTTACAAGGAAGGCTTATGCCAGTAACTCCGTCAAAGCACGATCCCACTTTACTTAGTAAGGCTTAGGAACGATGCTGGCAAATAATTGTTGAATAGAGTGACAAACCTCGCAGACCAATTTCCTCTGCGGAGTGTATACCGTCCGAGTTGCTGCCCGAAGGACCAAACCTGACTACTGAACGAGACAAGCTTGGTATATTGTCTTCCTTTTAGCAACAAACGGTAGTCACATTGCAATTATTCCACCAGTACGGATCATTCTATTCGGATGCAATAGTGTAGTAGAAACTGCAGATCGGTCGGCATGAGATGTAGGTTCTTGATTAACAGTCTTCTTTTTTTCATTATCTTTTTTTTCCAAAAAAAAACAATTCCTACCATTATAAAAGAGAAAATGAAAGCAATAAGCTTCATCTTCATCTTCTAACTGCCGCATTCCAACAATTTGATGGAACTCCATTAATCTAGTTGTAAAGCTAGGATAATATTGAAAGCACTGATGAATGGTAAAAGGCACTACTTGATGGTGATGGATCCAAGGTCGTCCCAATCAAAGATGGTAAGGAGTAACACCAATATCATTCACTGTATGTATGCCTCTCCGCAATCCACGAACATCTGTAGCATGTTGTACCTAAGGTTTATTTGAGTTGTGCCCGTTACACCATGGATCTCGAGCTACCTATGCATGTCCTAGTTATGAATAGGAAAACCGTCCAGCCTTTCACACCTACTACGTAAAAGGGGATGTGTTGTTGGCTGCTTCAACCCCATTTTTGCACAACATCGATCCTCTCACCTACTTCCTCAAACGGTGGAACACTGAATGCCCAAGCAATTACACGTTGATTTCATACTCCTTCAGTAGTGCTAACAACCATTCAGTGAATTGTCTTGTGTTATTGCCTTTCAAGACGTTCACTGAATCCTTCTCAATGTTTTGGTGCAGGTACCAGCACATCGAAGGCTTAGAAAACTGTTGGACCCCAATGTTATTATGAAGGGCCATCTGCCCAAGTTAGGAGACCCCGAAAGGACCAGACATACACCACCCGCTAAAGCAAACTGTAAATAAAACAAGCCATATAGCTAGCAAGTAAGGGATAGAGGATGGATTTGTCCAGGGCATGTGAACTTCCTTATATATTCAACCAGTATTGTGAAAAGCGAATCTAAGCCAGCACCTACACGAAAAGCGAAGCGAAGCGAGCCTTGGTCGCCTTGAACATCCAAAGTAAAGCGAGGTTAAGTAAAGCCAAAAAAAAACAAGTTTAGGCGACGAAGCGAAGAAGCAAGTCAGGCAAGAAAAATGAACACCTACAGTTTTTTTATTTCTCCTCCTCCTCCTTTAACATTAAACAAACCCTAGCAGAGATGATATTATGTATATATGTATAAAATAAATTGATTGATTCATATAACAGTATCAAATGACAATCTGTCTTATTATGATTAGATAATGTTGAATGCTTTGTTTTTTGATGTGAAAGCTCTTGTTAATCAATTTGCTTGGTTAATCAAATTGATTAATCAATTTGCTATATGCTCTATTTGATTAATTAATTTGTGAGTGCTTTATTTAGTGATGATATCAATCAATCACGGTGGAAGTTAAACTCACATTTGCTAACTTTACATTTAGATGACGTTATTATGTCAATTGATTATTTTNTAATTTGTGAGTGCTTTATTTAGTGATGATATCAATCAATCACGGTGGAAGTTAAACTCACATTTGCTAACTTTACATTTAGATGACGTTATTATGTCAATTGATTATTTTTAAAATACAATAATGTTTAATATTTAATATCTTGTCTATTTAAAATATATTGATGTTTTATTATTTTAATTGCATTTAAATATTTTATATTTGTAAAGTTAAAACTTGAATATTTAGGAGTAATCAAAGTATGAAATTAAAATACTTGCTTATTTTTTATTTTGTTTGCTTTGCTTCAATAAAGTATTTGCTTCGCTTCTTGCCTAGACCCTCAGAAAACCGGTTCACTTCGCTTCGTTTTACAACTTAAATAACATTGTATTCAACCACATGTTGCAAGCAGGTGTGAAAGGATATTTTGGCCTCAGTTATTCTTCTTTGAAATATTGATTTTATCAATCATTCCATTTTAGAATCGAGTCCCCCTTGAATATAAGTAAGACCCCATGATTCCTTAAACTAACTCCTAGCCCTACCCAGTGGAACCGAATGGGGGTATTTGGCATGGGTAGAGAGAGCATCTAAAGGGTTGTTTCACCAAAGGTGATCACAAACCGATCGAGGCAATCACTGGCTACAACGTAATGTCATAATCGATGGAATTTGGATTGATTCTATTCAGGCGACAGGCCACACCCGCTTGGAGCCCCACCAACATTTTCTATACAGTTGCATAACCATAAGTCGCCAGTCTGGCCCCTATCCCACAAAGTAGCTTGATGGCCAAACCATTCCCAAGGCGAATAATGCCTTAGGGGCCGACCCATGGATACTCCCGCGTAGTAGCAGCGGACTGAGTCAGTACTTTGCCTACGAGAGGCGCATTCATATGCCTTTCGAGGCTTTCCCTTGTAAAATATTCTCGAGTAAGAAAGCAAAACCTCTCCTCTTTATGTTGCTAAACACAAAACACGATTTTAGATCCACTAGAACATAAAGATCTACTAGACTACAAACAAAGAAGTTGGCAGCAATAAAACAGACTCGAAACCACTACAGACAGTAACCTACAATAATCAGTCTACCTACGGTACGTTGTAGAGAGAGGATTGACTCCACATTTCCGCTAAATAATTCCAANTATTGCCTTTCAAGACGTTCACTGAATCCTTCTCAATGTTTTGGTGCAGGTACCAACACATCGAAGGCTTAGAAAACTGTTGGACCCCAACGTTATTATGAAGGGCCATCTGCCCAAGTTAGGAGACCCCGAAAGGACCAGACATAAACCACCCGCTAAAGCAAACTGTAAATAAAACAAGCAATATAACTAGCAAGTAAGGGATAGAGGATGGATTTGTCCAGGGCATGTGAACTTCCTTATATATTCAACCAGTGTTGTGAAAAGCGAATCTAAGCCAGCACCTAGGCGAAAAGCGAAGCGAAGCGAGCCTTGTTNATTGTGAAAAGCGAATCTAAGCCAGCACCTACACGAAAAGCGAAGCGAAGCGAGCCTTGGTCGCCTTGAACATCCAAAGTAAAGCGAGGTTAAGTAAAGCCAAAAAAAAACAAGTTTAGGCGACGAAGCGAAGAAGCAAGTCAGGCAAGAAAAATGAACACCTACAATTTTTTTATTTCTCCTCCTCCTCCTTTAACATTAAACAAACCCTAGCAGAGATGATATTATGTGTATATGTATAAAATAAATTGATTGATTCATATAACAGTATCAAATGACAATCTGTCTTATTATGATTAGATAATGTTGAATGCTTTGTTTTTTGATGTGAAAGCTCTTGTTAATCAATTTGCTTGGTTAATCAAATTGATTAATCAATTTGCTATATGTTCTATTTGATTAATTAATTTGTGAGTGCTTTATTTAGTGATGATATCAATCAATCACGGTGGAAGTTGAACTCACATTTGCTAACTTTACATTTAGATGACGTTATTATGTCAATTGATTATTTTTAAAATACAATAATGTTTAATATTTAATATCTTGTCTATTTAAAATATATTGATGTTTTATTATTTTAATTGCATTTAAATATTTTATATTTATAAAGTTAAAACTTGAATATTTAGGAGTAATCAAAGTATGAAATTAAAATACTTGCTTATTTTTTATTTTGTTTGCTTTGCTTCAATAAAGTATTTGCTTCGCTTCTTGCCTAGACCCTCAGAAAACCGGTTCATTTCGCTTCGTTTTACAACTTAAATAACACTGTATTCAACCACATGTTGCAAGCAGGTGTGAAAGGATATTTTGGCCTCAGTTATTCTTCTTTGAAATATTGATTTTATCAATCATTCCATTTTAGAATCGAGTCCCCCTTGAATATAAGTAAGACCCCATGATTCCTTAAACTAACTCCTAGCCCTACCCAGTGGAACCGAATGGGGGTATTTGGCATGGGTAGAGAGAGCATCTAAAGGGTTGTTTCACCAAAGGTGATCACAAACCGATCGAGGCAATCACTGGCTACAACGTAATGTCATAATCGATGGAATTTGGATTGATTCTATTCAGGCGACTGGCCACACCCGCTTGGAGCCCCACCAACATTTTCTATACAGTTGCATAACCATAAGTCGCCAGTCTGGCCCCTATCTCACAAAGTAGCTTGATGGCCAAACCATTCCCAAGGCGAATAATGCCTTAGGGGCCGACCCATGGATACTCTCGCGTAGTAGCAGCGGACTGAGTCAGTACTTTGCCTACGAGAGGCGCATTCATATGCCTTTCGAGGCTTTCCCTTGTAAAATATTCTCGAGTAAGAAAGCAAAACCTCTCCTCTTTATGTTGCTAAACACAAAACACGATTTTAGATCCACTAGAACATAAAGATCTACTAGACTACAAACAAAGAAGTTGGCAGCAATAAAACAGACTCGAAACCACTACAGACAGTAACCTACAATAATCAGTCTACCTACGGTACGTTGTAGAGAGAGGATTGACTCCACATTTCCGCTAAATAATTCCAAAGTGACAAGACGAGTGAATAAAGGTGTTGTAAGCGGGTAGTGAATACTAGTTCCGTGGAGACAAACCCCTCCAACAGAAACATTTCCTCACTATAAACTGAACTCGTTGTGAACCTCTTAGATTATTAGTAACATCTCTTGAAGTAGTCCACTTTTTTTACAAAAAAGTGGATACATACTCCTTTTCTTGATATTATATTAGTCAAGTCTAAACTAAAGGCCCTTGACTAATATAATAGAAGGTAAGGCAGTTAAGCCCTATCGTTGTAACGCTACAACTACTTGGTGGGAATAAAAAGGCGGTACCCCTATTACAACACAATGCAAGTTCAGTTGACGAACTACTTTTCCCTAGGGGAGGAATCATTTTTGTAGTCAAAAAAATTTATACACAACTCGCAGGAAGCTAAGAAGAGTCTTAGCCCAACAACAACATGAATAGCAGTTTTAGTAGTTCGTTAATATTTTGTTACTAATCTATTTATGGTAAAGGAAGCCTTTCACCTGGCTAACACACAAAAAAAACCAGTCGAGCCTCTCTCTTTATTTCAATAAAAGCCTTCATGCTCGCATTCTATGGGGAATTTATTTCACTATTTACCTTCACTTCAAAGCTGAAAGCGAAGGGCGAAAACTCCACAACTAGTAAAGGGTGCTTGTGTTGTGGTTTTGAGTTCCTTGGTTTGCGTTCTATAAAGTAACCATTGGAAGAAAGTGGGGAACATTCTCTATCAAATAATGATGGAGGGGTTCCTAGTCTCTAATCTCATTTTTGCCGAGCCTGATTCTCTATAGTACAGAAGTCTTTGATTGGATAGAGACAAATATATAGAAAGTGTGCAATGAGGGATCTTTCTAGATAGCCAGTTTTACTTAATTCGACCCATGCTTGACTTAACACCAGTAATGCTCAAACACTCCCATGCCTTTCTTGGTTGGACCAACCCAACCAGTGATTCCCGTCTTCCTAAATTGGGAGAGCAAAAAAAAGTCTCTTTTTGGGGGGAGCACGGCAGTCAAAGAATGAACCAAACCAAATGATTATTCTAGAATGGCTATTCTTCACAATTGCTCCTTGTGATGCGGCAGAACCATGGCAATTAGCATCTCAAGAGGTAGCAACACCTATAATGCAAGGAATAATAGACTTACATCACAATATCTTTTTCTTCCTCATTCTGATTCTGGTTTTTGTATCACAGATTTTGGTTCACGCTTTATGACATTTCCACTGTCAAAAAAATCCAATCCCGCAAGGATTGTTCATGGAACTACTATTGAAATTCTTCATACCATATTTCTTAGTATCATCCCAATGTTAATTGCTATACCATCATTTGCTCTATTATACTCCATGGAAGAGGTAGTAGGAGATCCAGCCATTACTATCAAAGCTATCATTCTTTTTCGAGGAGCACAATCATGGCACTTCCAACGCCTTCATCGGGGCAAAAGCGGGCAAGGGGAGTCGTCAGGTCGTACTCTATGGTAGTTGACTTCCCCTTTGGCCAATTACGAGAGAAGAAGAATTTTGGAAGCAATCCCTTTCTACTATTTGATGATTGCTTCAATCAAGAATGGGTTATGCATTCAATCATCGTGTCTTTCTATGAACAAGGGAACCTATTAATTATATGGCCACCGCTACGAGAGCGCTCAAAAAAAAAGAACCCAAAAAAGGTGTTGAAATGGTTGAGGCGTCGAAAAGAACCCATGCGCTCAGGTATCGAATTGCTCAGAACCCACTACCTAAAAAGCACAGATACAGATACAGATACGAGTGTCGTACCCGATACGATACGGAAAGGGGACAAATAAAAAATCAAATAAATGACTAAAAAAAATCTAGATAACAACAAAATTATTAAACTAACAAAACTCCCTCAAAAAAAAAAAAGAATCATTGATTCGAGTTTGAGCAAGGATTTTCAATCGCACCAAGGATGTTCGAGTTTGAGCAAGCAGCAAAAATGTTCGAGTTCGATCTCAGTAAAGCAAACAACAGATCTGGAGAGGCTTGAGTTCGATCGAAGCCTTTGGTTGTCGAATACAGATGTTCAAGCCTTTGGTTACAGATCTAGCGGACAGAAGACTCTCCTCTTATATCTCTATCGCGAATATGGACTGGTGGGAAGTTTGATCGAACAAGACACTCTTCTCTCTCTCGATCGAACATAACATAGTTCGATCAAAACGAACAAAACACTCTTCTCTCTCGATCGATCGAAGCCTTTTGTTTTGCCTTTTTTATTTTTTTTTCCAGCACTAAAAACGTCGTTTTAGCATGTTTATTCTTTTTTATTTTCATTTCAACCTTTCAATTTTGTAAAATATCAAATTGAACCCCATCATATCTCCCGTATCTCTTCCGTCTCCCTACGTATCCGAGAAGTATCCAAAACGTATCCGGTCCCAAAGAAGACTTCTCTCTTATTCAAGATACTTTTGGAAGTATCGAACACGTGTCCGACCTCCGGATATGCGTATTTGTGTCCGATATGCATACGACACTGCCACGGCGACCCCCCCTAAAGTATTTGTGCTTCCTAGCCCACTACCTTTTCGATAACAAAGATTTCAATCAAGAGATTAATCCAAAATGAGTGATTCATGCCGCTGGCTGCCCACCTCTTTTGAACTCACGTTAGGCAAAGGGCCACTTGTCAAAATGGGAAGTTTTACGTTCTTTCGATCTGTTAGCAGTAACGGATTGTTTTTTGATGTCGTTTCAGGGAATAAAAATCAAATACAAAGGTTGTTCAATTTAGAGACGACATTTGTTTGGGGGTTCTCAGGTCTTAGAACAAATGCCTTTCTAGCCCCCCACGTACCTGGAGGGCCATCTATGTTTGTCCAATTTTCTACAGGACACAATCTCTAGGATATCTCTCGTCTTGGCCTTTGTTCGCTCTATCACATCACTTTGTGGTGTGGTACTGTTCTAACAAGGTATACCCAAGAAAGAAGTTTAGTAACTACACACTTCTCGATGACGATATTTTCATCGAAGACACCACGATTGTGGACGTTTATAAGAATGTTATCAATTGCTTGGGGGTCATCAAAATCGAAGTATTTGCTCTCTAATAAGGTGGTCTTGAGTTCACAAAGAAATTCTAAATTCATAATCGTGAGCTATCCCCGATTAGTGTCAAAATGATATAATTAGTGAGGCATGCGATTGCATGGATACCGATGTTTCAAAATCTTAGACTGACATCTCCGCAGCTCTTTATGAGAGTTCTTGAAGCTAATTTTGGTAGATATTCTGCAAAACCAGAGCAACTAGTCCTCATTATAATAGACACTGGTATCGCCACATCCTTGTGGCGTTCTCTCCCATTGGTATCCTACCACTTCCATTTCAAGTTTGGTTAGGGTTCCCATATGGAATAGTAATCACTTGTTATTATATGGGTATGGTGCGAGACATGCTTGTGTCTTTGTGTTCTCCAGATTGGAGTTATGTGAAGCGATTTGTCATTGATCTCAATTTGAGGCTCAATGAGGACATCGACTTCCTGATAGAAAATCTTTTTTATTGGGTTAAAGCCTTTTTGGCTTATTGCACAGGGCGGTTCAGTACAAGGCGACAGTTTTCTCAATTCCCGTTGAGTTTCCTTCATCTTCCGACCATGTGTTTTAGGTCGGATCAAAAAAACCAATTCTCAAAGTTTCATAAACATAGTCTGATGTTCCAATGCTATGACCTCATCCGCCAAAAAGTCTCTCCACTTTCTTCCAATGCCATGATCATCTCGTACTTGGTCTAAATCTTATCAATGTTTAGATAGGATGGAAAGAAAACTCTGGAAGAGTGCTATGGTCTTGCTATGGCTCTGGCGCCGAAAGGCCCCTCAAGTCCTCCTTGTAGGATATAATAAGAAGACTGTAAGTGCATCTAAGCCCCTTTTTCCACAAAAATATATGTACACTAACCTTAGTGTCGTGGGCAAAGCGGGACATGTTCGGCCTTACATCTAACTAGCGTCAGAAGTTGAATAGTAATTGGAGGCAGCGAAAATTTGTTGACGAGGCTGCCATGATGAGGTATGGCCATAAGTTATAATATTTTCTTAAAATTGATAGATTTTTGGTTTATTTTGCCTCGACAAAAGTAGGTATTTGTGAAGGATTTGGCAAATATAAAACTGGCAAATGACAAAAATTTCTGGAATTTCAATGGAAGTTCACAAAAAAACTGTTGAAAAGTCATTTAATTTAGGTCCTATGTTACACACTACCCTAATATAGGAGTTATATTAATTGAACAATTGTTCAATTAATCTCTTGTTCTTAACTTAATTCATGCTTCTCGGTTATGCCTGGCAAATGTTTGATTCCCAAGGGGGTACACACACCAAGAAAGTGAGGTTAAAGTTTTGTGCGTCATTTTGCCATAATTTAATACCATTTTTGGAAGTACCGAGTGGCGGAGGGCACAAAATGTTATCTGGATCGCTTTGGTACGTGATACGGGTATATGGATGCACAGTATGACACTTTCTTATGTATACAGTACGATAGAGTAGGCTTAACTAATATGGTATTTTAGGTCGCAATTTATTTTGAAACTCTTATCTAGATCGTTTTTACCACTTTACAATATTATATAGCATAGAACATCCTAAACACTAAGTCAATTAGCCTTTATCTTACATTTGTGCTCGATTTTCTATTATTTAAAATAATATATAATTATAAATTTATATACACGTAGTTAATTAATATGTATTTTATATTTATGCTACGTGTATAATTTGGGATCATACATTTTGGTGAATTGGATTGCGAATCCACCCCGTTTGGGTTCGATATACCCAGATCTTGAGTCGTTAGAGATTTAGTAAATTTTGGAAACTATTGGCACAACTATGGAGAATGGTTCTTAGCCTAGGTGTTCGACAATGGTAGTTAAGGGTATGGGCAATGTTATTGAAGGCGTAAAGCAAACCAAACCAAAGCGGACCAATCTCCCGAGGCCTAGGCAAGATGCGCGAACGCTTCATCTAGTGAAGCAAACAGCAAATATTTTAGTTTAATTATTTTTAAATATTTAAGTTCTAATTTCACAAATACTAAATATTCAAATGCAACCAAAATCATGAACATTTAAATTCAAACAAACACAAATAATGTCTTAAATCTTAACGGCAACCATAGCACAAACATTATATTCAAAAAAAATACTAATAATATCACAAATCCTAATATTTGAAAACATAAAAAACACAATTCAAGCAACTAAATATTTAGAAGAGGAGAAGAAAAGGAGATGCATTGTTCCAGTAAGAAAAAGAGAAGAAACAAAAAAAAAAAAAAAACAGAGTTCCAGTAGGACCATCACGGAAGAAGAAAGAGAGGAGAAGAAGCAACAAATCTGGAAGCAAATTCAGGGTCGAATGGATGACTTAGTAAATTTGTCACAAAAGAAGAGAACATACCTGTCTATGCAGTGACTTCTGATCTCTAGAGCAAATTCAGAGTAGATTAGGGCTTAGTAGTTAGAGGGCAATCGACTGTTATGGGCATATCAATAGTCGACGCAGAGAGAAAGCTGAGAACTCAAAATTTTGATTCAATAACAATAGGCCAACCCGTATGTCTGTTCACGACTTCCAAAATTTTGATATTTAGTCCTTTAGTTAATCAATCTCCAGTAGCAAACTTTCCAAGTTCTCCCGTGAGTTCAGTCCACAAAATCTGAAATTAGTTCTATATTCAAAAAATAATTAGCAAAAAATAGCAGCACAAAACAATCACTATCACCATATATTATAGATACACAACTCAAATAGTGTCAGAGTGAAGAGAGTGAATGAATAGATACCTGCCAAGTGAGGGAAATGCAAGAGGGTATTAAAGCAAAACCATCAGCCTACTACCTCAGCGAAAAGGGATGAAAGTGAATGAATAGATTGACCATGGTGGTGAGATGATCGATAGACGGCGATGAGAGTCAGAATATCTAGGTATGTAGAGAGAGAGCGAGAGATGAGTGAGAGACACGGAGAGAGGCTGGGAAGTGAGACCTGAGGCTTGAGCGATTAGCTATTAGGGCTAAAATGCCCAAAAAATCTGAATTTATAGGACTTTATTTGAGCCGCCCCGGTTTGATGCTAACCTCCGGTTTTGAACGGTCTACTCGAACACCTACAGGTTCAATAAGTTGTATGCAGGTTTGATATTCAAACCATCTAAATGTGATTCTCCCGCTAACCAATGCAAATGGGAGTGTCAATTGTATCCATTAACACAAATTTTACCTAACACAAAATTTAAAAATAACACAATTAGTTAATACAAATAATAAATGGGTCCAATTAAAATTCGACACAAATAACATGATTAACGGACATTGTAAACAAAAAATAAATATTTAATGCATAATTTTAAAATCT